TAAATTATAGAAATGAAAAATATAGTCATTAAAATAAAAATCATTGGAAGGGTTAAATAGCAAATGAACGCAGCTGAAGAGAAGGTTAGGCAACTGGATAATAGACCTGAAGAAATACCTCAAGAGAGGGGTATAGGAAAAAAGAGAGGGTGAATATACAATAGATATTAATTGAAATGGATTATAAGAAGACTAGCATAAAATCTAATAGAAGTATCAGGTGGAAAGAACAGAAAGAATGAGAGAATGGAGAGAATGGAGGCTTGATAGGGAATGTTTGAGGGAAATATAAACGCTGAAATGTTCACCAAAATTATAGACATCAAATGCTTAGATTCTGGAAATAAAGTAAGTTCCAGGCTGGAGAAATTAAATTCATACTTAAACAAAGGTGATGAAACTACAAAATTCCACATAAAGTAAAATTCTTAACAGCACCTAATGATAAAAGATTACTACAAAAAGGACACTCATCACTTAACAGTAGATGTTTCACAATCTGCAGCAATAGAAGTCATAAATCAGGGGAAAGAATTACCAGAACATACAGTCAACTATGCCGGATGACCTCAAAAATGAATTCCTTATGAGAAAAAAAGAAGTTGAATTATCTCTTTTCCTGTCAATGAATGCTTGGCAGCAATTCAGTAAATTTGTGAATAGCCTGGCAACTGAAGACTGAACCCAGCAATTGAAATGAATGTTAAATCACAGGTATTTCCCAGTAATTCAGGCTATGTAATTCTGTGAAGGAATGTGGTTGGGTTAATGGTAAAGTGGGGGAGCTGGAAATTCTTACTGAAGAAATAGCATATGATAACTGTACAATGCCAGATGTTGGGGTCATCTAATCTAGATTTTGACTATTTAGACAACAAGTCAGCAGAATTTAATTTACATTAGATTCTAATGCACTGACCTGTAAAGGCTGTCACTTAATATCTTAATGCTTGATAGTATGTATATAATAAAAACAAAGCTATCAATGTATTTAAAATGGTGTGCTTTTTAATCCATTCATCTACTTATGGGCACTTGGGCTGTTTCCAGATCTTAGCTATTGTAAATTGTGGTGCTATGAACATAGGGAGGAGTCAATGGGGGGAAAAGGGGGACATCCAATATTTTCAACAATGAAGATACAAAAAAAGAGAAAGAACAGGTTCTTCATGTATTTGAAAGAAACCCCATCATTTAATTATCAAAAATATGTATAAAATGCCTCCTTTGTGCCAGGTATTGTTGTAAGTACTTAAGATGCATCAGTTACTAAAACAGACAAGAGATTGGTGCCTTTAAAAAGTTTGCATTTTAGCATGAAGGAAAAATAATAAACTAGCTGAAAAAAGAGAAAGAAGCAAGTGAATTATACAGCATGTTTGAAAGTAGAGGTGCTAGAGAACAGGTGAAAGTAGTGTAGGTAAGGAAGCTCAGCAGAGGGGTGTGCAGGCTGCAAGCAGCATGGAGTAGGGTGGCCCAAATAAGAAAATGACACCTGGGCTTGCTGGGCGTGGCTCAGCGGTTGAGCGTTGACCTGGGATCCAGGCGATCGGGGTTCAATTCCCGGTCAGGGCACATGCCCGAGTTGTGGGCTCAATCGGTGACTCTCTCATCATTGATGTTTCTATCTCTCTCCCTCCCTCTCCTTTCCTCTCCCTGAAATAAATAAAGATATATGTTTTTAAAAAAGAGGAAAAAAAAGAAAATGACACCTGGTAAGGAGACATTCATCTTTGGGGAAGAGGACCCCAGGTGGAGAGAACAGTTCCAAGATCTTAAGTTGGGAGAGTGCCTGGCATGTTTGAAGAATGGCAAGGAGGCCAGTGTGGCTGAAGCAAACGGCCCAGTGGAGAGTAGTAGTAGACATGGTAAAAGAGACACAGGCATGAAAGTCACTGAAAGGCCTGGGGATTTTTTTGAAGGATAGTGGTGTCTGTGTTTGTTTTTAATAACAGCTTTATTGTGATATAATTCACACAACAAAGTTCACACCTATAAAGTGTACAATTCGGTGGTTTACAGTGTATACACAGGGTTGTGCATTATCACAATCTAACTCCAGAATATTTTCATCACCCCCAAAAGGATCTCCATATCTTGGCGTTTGCTCATTTCCCCCTTCCCCTAGTTCCTGGGAACCACAATTTTACCTTCTGTCTCCCAGAACAGAATTGCCTATTCTGGACAATTCCTATAACAAGAACTATACAGTATGTGGCCTTTTGTGTCTGGCTTCTTCTGCTTGGCCTAATATCTTCGAAGTTCATTCACACCACAGCATGTGTCAGTACTTTCTTACTTTTTAGGCTGAATGATGCCACATTTTGTGTATCAATTTGTCATTTGGCTATACAAATGTATGTGGGGGTGTTGCCTAAAGCTTTCATGCCCTCTTCAGCACACCACCTCCCAGCTCCTCAGTATTTTCACCAACTCAGAAGCTCTGTGAACCTCATTGTTGAGGGGTTTGTATGAAGGTTTCACTGCACAGACATGATTGATTAAATCATTGGCTCTTTGTTAATGAACTAAATCAGCAGAGGCCCTCCTCTCCTCCCCTGAGATCATGGCTTGATCTTCCTAGTGACCGGTCCCTAATCTGAAGCTATCTAGGAGCCCCAGCCATGACTCATCTCTTCAGCAAACAAGAGACACTCTTATCACTCAAGAGATTCCAAGGGAATCTGTGCCAAGAAGGAAGGTGAGAGGTGTGTGTGT